TTATGCATTTTGTATATGATTATATGCATTGTTATTATGATAATATTTCTCACCCTTCTGCCGGAATGATGTCCTACATGACATCGTGCAGGTATCAAGGAGTAGTACTGCTTGTAGTTGCGAGGTCGCTATTGGTGTAGCTGTTTAGTGATTTAATTATGTTGGGTCGAGTCATGCTCTGGTCATGTAACACTGTGATCGCTTGGGTTGTGTTTAAGATATACATTATGTACTCTATAAACGTGTTTATATTCATTAGAACATTATGATGTTGGCCTTAGCGCTTAAACGATGTTGGTTTATGTGATAAACGCAAATGTTTCTTTATGAAAATTATTATATAATTGAATCCGCTGCTACATGTAAGTGAAATCTTGAAAAGGCATGATTAATTATTGAAGTGTTTATGAGCATGACACGTGTTTTGATGTTTTGAAATTATGTGTGACGCCCTTTTGTAAATGCATGAAAATTTACTCTGATTAAATTAATATATTTTCCGTGGGGTTTAGAAGGGTGTTACATTAAGAGTCTTTAATATGTCGACCTCAAACCCAGTAAAGGGAATTCCCACTCTCATATAGACGATGACTCAAGTATACATATAGGATTATTTATTCCTTATTCCCTATGGAATCATCAAATAAGCTTTATCTCCATCAACACATGGCTCTAATAGAACACCATATTTAATATGGTGGTGGATATATGTAGACTCTTATGGATTGAAGCCATGTTATCCTCTCTATTAAAAATCGAGTTAATGTTTTCAACTTCGCCACTGAAGCAAGGTGCACCTATGAATAATCTGGCTTGTCATGAGTAAGAAAGGGGTAAAACAATGTCAATATCACTGCTCTTGTTGCAATCATAGTTATTCTCATAAGCCCCGAAAATCCCTAACTCAACAGACTTCCACATTCTCATCATTTCACCTTAAATTTTCAAATCAATGACTCCATATGCTACATTTTTCTCACGTATTTTGAGTTCAATCTAATTTTTGTTCTCGTCACATTCTCTAATAAACATCACCAACTAGATGCTAAAAGGTAAAATATATAAGAAATGCATAACGAAATACCTATGATGAAGTTTCACTTGGTAAAATGTTGGATTCACGACCTGATAGATGAAAGTAATTACTGAAGGATAAAAAGGAATAAAGGTGTAGAGAGGAAAAATTAAAGAAAAGGTTTATGTATTTATGGAGAGGAAATTATCCCCATAGACCAAGTAGACGTCAATAAGAGCATAGTCGTCATTATGTGGGACCGAGCATCGAGGACCTGATCGTAGGCATGCAAACTAATACACAATCTAGATTGGTTGGTTATTCTCAATACATCTTTAATAATTCACAACATTAACTACACATTTAATCCTAGAATGTAATTGTTTGTCTAAGCAAGATCTCCAATCGTACCTTACGAGAAACCACGTTCAAGCCCAATCCTACTCAAAATTGTTGTCAAACACCTCCCATTTAATCATTTCACCCTTACTGACCTTTTGCTTGAGGGACTGTAGTCGATCATGTCTTTACTTAATCACTTCGTCCATACATACCCCATGTTTGAGGTATTGTGAACCGTCATGAATTTACTTAATCATTTCACCGTTACATGCCTCGTGACTGAGGGACTATGAATCGCCATGTCTTTACTTAATCATTTCACCTTTACATGCCTCATACTTTAGGGATGGTGAACCATAATGTCATAAAACATGCCCATTAAAGGCCAACATCCTCGGTCCATCACTTATCCAACTCATAAACAACGCGAGGAATATTCGAATAAGGTGTGGCAGGGTTACATGTGGAACACATGGTCAAGTTTGCCCCATCTTCTACTATATTATATCTTGGAAGATTAACATGTCAAACCATGTTTTGAGTTAAGTAACAAAATTCTCTTAGTTAATAACCAAAATAATCCAAGTTATGGATTAATAGTACCTCTTATATTAAATGGGTGACTCATAATATTCACTTCATTATTAGGTCAAAGTCACAGGACATGTAGCCACACTAACATGCATTATAAATGGTATCTCTGAAAAATGACCACATCTATAAATACATAGCCAAGTAGTTAGGTCCAGTCTTTCTTTTTTTTACATATTAGAATCTAAAAGCTCCCTTGCACTCCATATGGATGGCGAAGCAATATAAATTATACACAGAACAAATGCATATTACATTAGATATAGCACATGAAATCATCAATCATTTTAGAGCGTTGGATCAAACATCACCAAAGAAATCACATTTCAAGAAATGATGTTGAATATTCTTCTTTTTCCCCAAAGTTACATATGGATCGTCATATTCATATTGAGGCATTAAAAACAATTTCTCTCTTTACCAAGTTGTCTTTAGTTAGGATTCTGATATTGAAAAGTTTTCGTAGAAATAAAAAGACTTTAAGAGGCATGACTTTGTTGCAAAGAAGCTCTCATATAGACTCATAGTCAGTATGTCACTTGCGAATCAGAATATTTTTTTTATGGTATACAATAGACTCAAGATCTGGGCTCAATGCCTAATAGTCAGGTAAATTATACTGTTAAACAAAATTATTCAAAAAAGAATAACACCCAGCCACATGTTCCTCTTTTTAGACAAAAAAAATTCTCCTCCATCTCCAATCTTAACCAATTGACAATTCTATGTAAGAATGGCAAAACAGACATGATCCGTTTTGCACGCTCGTCTTGTCCGCACTTTAGTTTGGAGTGAATCAAAGATTTAGACTCGCATCTTCTAATATGTCTGAAATGTCTTTCTCCTTCTTTTTTTTCTTTTTTTTATTAATTTTTATAGACACAAACATTAATAAAAAATTTTATATTTTTAAAAAAATTATGACGCTCACATGTCCGTCTCGTTCTGCCCTCACTTTTTGTGCGACATGCCGAAATTTTAAATATATACCCTCATGTGAGTTCTGTGCCACCGTATTTTTTACCATCTTTTTTGCGAGACTGGCTTGAAAGCAATCGAGAGGCCACGATAACTACAAAGATGCTATCAAAGATGCTAGTAAAATAATTGATGGGTATAATAGATTGGTCTAAAACGATTTCTTGATAGCTTCGCCTAAAACAAAGTCAAGGAGGTGGGTTCAAAATGAAATAAATAATTTTTAATTATTTTGAAAATTTTACCTTTACTCCATTTAAAGTTAGAAGTTCTTTTAATGTTTTTTTTTTTAAATCTGTAAATTATTTAACATGTGTTTTTAAAAAAAAAGTCGATCTCTATAAATTATTTTTATAAAAGGAAATGCTAACCAGTGTCCTCATGACACTTTTTAAAATTTTAAATAGTAAATTTTTATAAAAGTATGTGCAATAAAGTGTAATAATATGCATTGGAAATTGAAGTGTTTGAATTTTTTAAAGAATAATTTCTTAATATGGAATGTTTAAATAGTGCTCTGAGGGCACTGGTTAGCAAGACTCTTTTATAAATAGTTCAGTCAATTGAAAACACTACTATATTAGCTCGGTAAAAGAAAGTAACGCAGAATAGCAAATCTACTTTTCCTAAATTTATTGTTTTAAATAACTACTTTTTCCTCAATTGATTACATAAATAAATCAATACTCACACAGTCAACATATATCTAAATAAAATCAAAAACTCATTATTTTAAGAAAAAACTATTGACCACAGATTTCTCAAATATTATCCGAGGGTAGATAAATAAATACTCCTATAAATAATCGTCAAGAAAAACTTCTATAAAATAAACCTTCCTAAATTATATTACCTACTATTTTTTTAATTGTATTATTAATTAACAAATTAATATCTAAATCAATTTTGGTACAAATTTATAAAAATTATTTGTTAAATAAATATCAGAGGGCAAAATTTTAGAATGAAGAGAAAAATGAAAGGTGGTAAAAAAGAAGAAAGTTCACGAAGCCGCAAGAGTTTAACGCGGTAAAGTGGGGTCTGATGCAGTGGAGCAATAGCTACAAATCATAAATCACGCCAATAGATGATCCAACGAAAGTTCACGTTTCAGTGCCACGTGTACACGAAATCCACAGTTGAAAATCTTGTCCTACAAAAAGTCATGAAAAACGCGCCGACTACAACTTCAACAACGGTGGCCCCAGCGACTGATCGCACCACGATCCAAAACCAATGTCGTAAGCAGTGACAAAATCACCTCTTGTGGGCCCCACACAAGCGCACTCATCATATTTGATAACATGACACTTGTCACTTTCAAACCACCCACCTCCTTCTTATTCATTCATTTCACCCAATAAAATAATATTTTTATCATGCAAATAAATTTGACCACAAAAAATGAATTTCAATAAAGTACAAAATAAAACTGAGAAAATGAAATGTAGAAAAAATTACAAAAGGAATATAATGCTGAAATAAAGTAACACTTTCTGTTTGCCGTAACTATGAACTCATACGGTAATAAGATTCCAAACTCCAAATATTTTAAGGGTCATTGTACCAAGTGGTCATTTTAAATTGAGTTGGTTAAACAAAATAATAAAATAATAAATCTTTATAAAGAGTGATAAATTTTAAATTTTAAAATTGAAATTTATGGTATATATAAAAATTACTTTTAATACGACTTTATAGGCATTAGATGGAATTTATCTTTATCTTTTAAATAAGTGAGATATTATGAATTTGAATAGGCGATTTTGTATCAACTAGTTAACACACCGTGAATTTCATAGCATTATGTAATATTTTTGGCCCTACATCTTTCACGCTTATGAACACTACCAAAACGCTATCGTTCACGTGTATCCTAGAAAGACCAGCTACTCAAGCACGTGTCACCTCTATTCTTCCCTATAAATACACGTTTCTCTCTTATGAGATAAGTTTCAACCGCCGCCACCGTATTTCATCTTAGAATTCTTCATTCACGGAGAAGATATAGCTAGGGAGAACCATTCATTCATCACAAATCAGATCTTACTAGAAACGTTTCGAAATTAAAATAATGGCATCAGAACTTCAATTGCCACCAGGCTTCCGATTCCATCCAACGGATGAGGAGCTCGTCATGCACTATCTCTGCCGTAAATGCACGTCGCAACCTATCTCCGTGCCGATCATCGCCGAAATTGATCTATATAAGTACGATCCTTGGGAACTTCCTGGTAATCCATCTTCTTCTCTAAGTTGTGTATAAATTTATTAATCATTTTTCATTTTAATTTGACACTATTTTATTATTGTTATTTTTTAGGCTTGGCTTCTTATGGAGAAAAGGAGTGGTACTTTTTCTCGCCACGAGACAGGAAATATCCGAACGGTTCAAGGCCGAACCGGGCGGCTGGGTCTGGATATTGGAAGGCAACCGGGGCGGATAAACCCATAGGTAACCCGAAACCGGTTGGAATAAAAAAAGCCTTGGTTTTTTACGCGGGGAAAGCACCTAAAGGTGATAAAACCAATTGGATCATGCACGAGTATCGCTTGGCTGACGTAGATCGCTCCATTCGCAAAAAGAACAGTTTAAGGGTAAAATGACGATTTCAGCCCTTGGGTGACCCAAATGTGGTTACACTTTTATGTTAAGATATTTTTTTCTTGAAATTGATCCAACGGTTCTGATTTTGCAGTTGGATGATTGGGTGCTTTGCCGTATTTACAACAAGAAAGGAACTATCGAGAAACAACCAAACGGTGTTGTTAGCCGGAAAACTGAACAGTCAGAAGTTGAAGACAAGAAGCCGGATATTCTGACACGTGGTGGAGGTCTTCCACCGCATCCTCCCCCGGCGGGAATGAGGGATTATATGTATTTTGATACTTCGGATTCAATCCCGAAGCTGCACACGGATTCGAGTTGCTCGGAGCACGTGGTATCGCCGGAGTTTGCAAGCGAGGTGCAAAGCGAACCTAAGTGGAACGACTGGGAAAAGAGCCTTGAATTTCCTTATAATTACGTGGATGCCACTCTGAATGCCGGTTTTGGATCTCATTTCCCGGGTAATAATCAGATGTCGCCGTTGCAGGATATGTTCATGTACTTGCCAAAAACCTTTTGAGCATTGAAATATAAAAATGGAAGAATCTCTGCCATACAATCGCAGTATGCGTATCGGACGGTAGCACGAGACGAATGTCCATGAGTGTGCCTGTGCGAGCACGTGGAGTATTATTATATAATAAATTTTCCTAAGGCTAAGATAAAGAAAAATATGGGAAGGGGAAATTTAAAACAAAAGGAAGGTGCAAATGCATGTGATGGAGTTAGTGTTTTGGTGCATTCCTATATGAAGTGGATGGAACCAATGGTGCATGTATGTTTTATCTGTTTCTAGGATTAGCATGTGCGTAGTTATTGCAGGATGTAGATAGGGTATAGAACATGTTCATGTCATAGAATGTCAATTGCAGGACATCCTAAATTAATACACTCTCAGTATGCATTTTCTACTCTACTTAATTAGTATTAGTAGGATTGCCATTTCCTTCTTTTTTTGAGTCTGTTTTGTGTACTTATTTAATTTTATATTTTCTTTTTACCAGTCAATATTTGGCATTTTAAGAATACTAGTTGATAGTCCAAAACGGTGGTTATAAATGGAGTATGAAATAATACTAGTAGCTAAATTGTTAGTCTTGCAGGAAATGGATCCTTATATTTATTTTATGTATGAATGAATTGTTATATAAAATAAAAATATAAATTATTGGATAGATTTGTAATTCACGTAGTAAAATTTATGTAATAACAATATTATAATTTACAAAACTTGCAATTTGTTAAGGAGGATGACATAATGTAGTATTCACTCTTCAATGTGGCGAACATGTTTCTCTCTGGTCAAAAAGAAGAAAAACATGTTTCTCCTTAATCACAATGATAATGTTTTTTTGACATTTTCCTGCAGAGTAAAATCATCTCGATGATAATGATGACGATTATAAATTTTTCAATAAATAACAGATATTTTTGCATTTTCTACAACAATAGAGGCAATTTGCCAAAATAAACTACTAACAAACATAAATTGTAGTACTACTTTCAAATTATAATTCAATTTGCAAAATATAAAACACTTTGAAAAAAAACATTTATACCACAAATTATAAGTTACTTTCTATACCATTTTTTTTCTAATATATCCTCGGACATTTTTCTTTTATGATAAATGTACAATAGCATAAAGTCATATAATTTTTCCTTTTCATATATCATTATTTACATTTCTTAATTTGTATAAAATATCTTAATGTCACATAATTTGAAATAGAGAGATTAGTTTTTAAGTCAAAGTATACACAATGTTTACTATCTGCCTTGGACAGACAAATGCACGGACATAATTAATCTATTTTTAAACAATTTTTGGAAAATCTTAAACATGATCTTTTCATTGTATAAGAAAAGTAAAGATTATATTGTTCAAAATATTTGTACAAGAGGAAGATAAGAGTGTCAGCTAATTTCGTCAATCTCTTATTTCATCCATCAAATAAATGTCAAAAAGAAGTAATTCCTAGTGATTGTGATATTTAACCCATCACATTCTGTCCAATTTAATCTCATTAGCCTTAGTTGGATTTTTATAAAATATAATTAGATCTCCAAAAGTTAATAAATAGTACAAGCACTATCATAGCATTCGCTAGTGCCGAACGATACACCAATACTACAGCACTTACTATCATAATGCATATTACGATGTACAAGGGAAATATCTTGGTACGCATAAATTAGGAATATCTCTACTTTTAATTTACGGATATAGCACACCAGTACATCATCATACTCATGTGAAGGTTATGCAGCAGCAGCTGCAACCAGTGCAGATCTAGCACGTGTAAATGAAGCAACAACTGATCCAAGCTGAAGCTTATCGTTGCACCCAAAACTTAATCTGTATCTGCAACAATGAATTTTCAATCTGATTATGATAAGCGTTCATATATTTCTAAGAACCAAAAAAGAAAACAAAATCTTAAATCCATGTTTGTCTTTAAAGTTTCATGTTGTATTCAAACATCTATGTTGCAAGATCATGTGATGATGTCTAGCATACATCATGACTGGTCATATGAATTCCTAGGTGCACTTAGTTGAAGCCTAATTTTAGGCACCACCTCAAAAGAAGGAAGACACAGCAATGGGACATCAAGTAAAAATCAGGGTAAGGGCCCAGGAATTGTTTATATTCCAGGCATTTGCATGTTACTAAAGACCCCCCTGCTACCTATCTACTGCCTAGAATGGTAGGAATCAAGGGGTACTGCAAACTAAAACAGTAATCATGGCATAAGAAAAGAGAAGAAACCAGTGCAATCGAGGGTTTTCTCTAACTACTCCCAAAGCAAAGCTCCAACACATGGAAATGTCTATTATCGGGGCCCTGACATAAATAATTCCATTATACTCTCTAAAACCCTAGAACTCATCCTTATATATTACCAAGAGAAGATGTGCTCTTTATTTACTACTAAGAAGTTTTACACCTTAGTTACAATTAATAGAAAATTTCTACAACTTAGACACCTCACTAGTTACTGAGAAACCCACTAGTCTTCTTTTTATAAACCCTCCATATTTTTTGTTTGCCCACGGTACCCTTACCATTATTTGCCTTCCCATCATAGAAGCATGAGACTGGCAAAGCACACAAGTAGATGTATAAATGGTCATTTGGGATATGATGTCTATGTGAATGTATGATACCATATCACATGTAGTACAACTATGAGTAGCTATTCTCACTTTCTACAAATTAAGATATGTAATGCATACATATATATAGTCTCAGCAATGTACAGCTGCATATTCACTTACCCTTATAAAAACTTGATATCCAGTAGCACAAAAAGGGGGGGATAACAAAAGAAAAGGTATTTTATCTTCTATCAAAATAAGCTTAGCCATATTGTTCTAATTTTTCATAATTATGCTTGCTCAAGAAGGAAACAGGTTACACCAATTTAGACATCGCTCACATAATCTGAAGCTTTCTTTATGAGTGGCAGCTTTAGACTGGTTTTTTACCTAGGATGTCCATTCCAGTTTCCAACTTCAGCCTATTTATTTTGCAAATTTATAAAAGCTCATTATTTTAAAGGCTTTTCAAAGGTCCAGGCCTAAGGAGCCTGTGCCCTTTTCATATCATATTAAGTGTTGATTAGCGTTACTCAATTAGAAAGTAATGCATGTTGCCAACAAATCAAAGGGCATTATGGCATTGGGAGGACATAGGGACACCCTCGAAGTGCCACCATTGTTTGTAATCAACGAGATTCTTCCCTATTTCCGACAATGAAGTATAACTTTCTCTCACCTTGCAAATAGTTATAATATATCTTTAATGAAGAGATAAACATTGTTGTAAAACATATGTTTGTCAGGTCAAGCACAAGTTGAATAACACATAAAAGAGTAGGCAGCAACACATACTCTATGTCAGCCAAATCATTCACCAACTGCACTCGGACAGCTGGAGGCATCTTAATCTTAAAAACAAACCTGTGACAACAATACAGAATAACTAAGATCAATAAAATGAATTATCAGGAAGCTGGACATTAGTGCAATGATATACAAGACTCACATTGTCACTTCCCTTACAATATCAACAAGGGCCAGTCCTTTCCTTGTTTTCATATCATTAATTCCTATTAGAAAATAATGCAAATAAGAATGATAAAATGGTTGTAGATACTAAATACATTTATAAAGGGTTTAAAACAATCCTGAATACTTACTTTTAAAGCTATCTGAATATTGTTCATTTAGAAGCCAGTAAGATATTTGCTCAATGTCTTTGGGCAATGGATTTCCAGTGCAAAGGTAAACAGCTTCTTCTGTTATCTGCTGAGAGGCCATGTGTGTTGACTGCAAAAATATCAAAGCAAAAATATATGTCAGCAAGGATTGACTGATTCAAATTCGAAGACATAAAAATTCAAGATATAATAATTCATAGCACTTTCCATAGAGCTGTAAATTATTAGTTGTCCCAGAAACTAGCATAAAATATAATCATGCAAACCACAGTCAAAACTTCAAGAAAGAATACTCACACATTTGGAACCAACCAAAATAATAATAAGCATTTATCATTTTGGCTAAGTTGACATCAGGAGAAACACAAATTTACACATATATACAAATTATCATTCTATTGGCATGTACATATTGAATAGCTATTGATGTAAATAACTCTAAACACCCTATAGCACAGAAGTTATTGAAAAGTCTTAGATCTTGTAGTTTATTTGAGTGAAAATATTGAAATTAGTACTTGCCGTCTCAAGACTTCACTCAGGATTAACTAGCTTCCCTAATTTGTGTTTCTGATAGGACACCTATTCATTTAGGCATATTTAGAAGGTTATAGAAGTAATCCTAAGCCTTAGTTAGGATATTCCCTGATTTTAGGGAATTTCTGTTATGAGAGGGGAGGGAAGTTGAGACTCAGTCAGAAAGTTTGTTGGAAAACAGTTAGAAGAGAATTCTCTTTGGCTTAGGAATTCATAGAACTCTGGTTTACATTTCCTTGTTTTGTTTTCACCATTGTAGAGCCTTGAGCTCACCAATTTCCATTCTATAATGTACAGTTTTGTTATATTGATCTAACGGGTTCTATCAATGGCCTGGCCTGCCAGATTGTTGAGGGAGAGCAAGCGTTACGGAGGTTCAAGATGAATGAAAGAATTGACACATTGGAAGCAAAAAGGGAAAATCGGAGGAAACCATCAAATCTTTTGTGGCAGAGTTTCTAGCAGAGTTTCGTCAATTGTTAAGGACAAAGGTAGCAAGGAATTTGGCGGTTGCAACCACAAAGGAGGATCTCGGAGACGATAGTCACTTGTTTTTCAGAGTTACGTCACAGGGAGGGAAGATCAACTGTCAAATTTTTGTGGAGAAGAAATCGAAGGATCACGAGTTTAAGGGTCGACTCAAGGAGACCTTTTCTCTGCAAGTGATGGAACAACCAAGTTCAATGGCTGAAAATCTCCATATGGGTATCTCAAGGAAGAAAACCAATGAAAGAATTTGAGGCGTGCATTGATCCGGAGAATTCAGAGATAATGTTGCTCAACTTTTTAAGCGATAAAGGTTTAATGGATACCATGGTGTAGCAGCATCCAGTTTAGCCAATTTCCTTCTTTTTGTGGCTGCTACTGCTCTTGCTACTAGATCCATCACTTATAAAATGGTTAGGTTCAAGCCAAAATCCCCTCAATATGTATTTTTCCTTGACAACATATACCGTTGCATCTTTGTGAGCAAGAATTTCATGATGCACAGTGTTATTGTATAAAATAGCTTTGGCAACACCGTGACACCCTAGGAAATTCAATGTTGTTATTGTATTCAATAGCTTTGGCAACACCATGACACCCTAGGAAATTCAATGTTGTTATGGCCACGGCTGCTTATCGTCCCACAATCTACAGCTTTCTGAAATTTGTATAAGACAGGGGAAGATTTGGCCCTCCAGTTGTGGGGTGCATTTGCTAGCCCACTTTAGTACTTTAGTGTTCAAAGCAACCTGAATCTTACTGGTGTCTCGTGTGAATTAAAGGACAACCTTGCAGCAAGAAAAGTAATGGAAACTACATCCAACCTTGAGGATAAGGTTATTTATAAGAGGTGCATTGAAAGGACAGCTGAACACTTAGGAATATTCTAGAAGGTTATAGAAGAAGTAATCCTTAGAGTTAGTTAGAATATTCCCAGATTTTAGGGAATTTTTGTTATAAGAGAGGGAAGGGAAGTTGAGATTCATTCAGAAAGTTTGTTGGAAAACAGTTAGTAGATAATTCTCACTGGTTTAGTAGCCTAGCTCTGGTTTAGGAGTTCATAAAACTCTGTTTTACATTTCCTTGTTCTGTTTTCACCATTATAGAGCCTTGAGCTCGCCAATTTCCATTCTATAATACAGTTTCGTTAACTTGATTTTACAGGTTTATAGTTTCCGTCAAGATACTCATGTCGATATATGCGACGGGGGGTCGATACTAAAACTGAGTAGTACTAGTACTAATTCCCAAGAACAGTTTGACTCTCCACCACAAATACAGCTACTTCTTTATATGAAGATATTAACATAAAATAAGGACAAGATGTACTAGATTTGTATATAAGAAAACTTAAGGCTTAAAAAAATCACCTGAAGAATATTCAACGCCTTTCTCATATCACCATTACTAAGTCGAACAAGAGCAGACAAACCACTGTCTTGAACATCAAGCCTAGTCAAACTCCAAAACGTTAGTCATCAACACAATGCAAGTTACCAAGCCAAAAATGGAAGCAAGTTAAGTTTTAGTATTAAGAATTCATTCGGTCTAGTCAACTAAAAGGAATAAATATGATTCAATGACTTAGAATACCGACAGTTGAAATACACATGCAGTTACAGAGAGATAGACATGCAAATTGGGTCTTAAAACTTTTGAAAGTTTAGGACCTGCATGAGTTCCATACAACTGACTAAACGAGCAGTTTCACTGTAGATGGCCCTGAGTCCCTGACCCTATGATTCAATTATCAGTATAATTAAAGCATATAACAACCCTTTTCATGGAGGATTTCTGTTCAAATGCACAAGAACAAAAATATATCAAATGAAAGATCGACCCAAACTTCTTATACTATGGTTTGCATTCAACAATTTAGCGTTTTTTCTGCTATGAATACTCATCAATTCAAATAAACAAAGAAAATAAAGTAGTGTAACTGCAACCATTTAAGGACATTAATAATAATAATATGCGATGATGAAGATCTGTATGTTAAGATAATGGAGTTAGAAGAAGGACGGGATGTGTTTGATATGCAGATTAATTGCTTCGAATTTCCCATTTACTTTGTTCTCTAACTTCATATTTCACGGCTTAATTTAGCTCCCCTGCACGGGTCTCTTAATTGATTTCATTTTAAAAGTCAACTCTCAAAAAAGGCCAATCTTCAAGCATTTGGAAGATAAACATTTGATCGGTGTTAAAACATTCACATAACAAATTCAAACCCTTGATATAGCAATGAAAGCTTTGTTCACTTCATTATAACAAAAATGGCACTTAGTATTCACATTTCCGACTAAGAGAATAAAAGACTCAGTTAGTTTTGCATACAAGTTTTGGGAATATAATGAGAAATAACCCAGCAAAAGTCATCTTCTAACTGAAACTAACACAAGCTAACTGTATAATATCAGAGAAGGAAACGTACCTTTCAGCATTAATAACATGTTTCAGTCTTTCAGAGACATGTACGGCATCAAGAGGAGCAAACCGAAACCGAGTGCATCTCGATTGCAATGCTGGGATAATCTTGTTTACATGATTACAGATAAGTGCAAACCTAGTGCTCTTTGTATATTTCTCAATTACTGCACCAAAAGAATATGAAAGGCATTACAGCTCAAGAAACTGGATTGAAGCTATATACATCATTCAGTTCGCATATAAGATTTGATGCACACCTCTACGCAATGCAAATTGAGCGTCCTTAGTCATGGCATCTGCTTCATCTAACAACACCAACTTTACAGAAGGCTTGACGCTAAACAGATAACCGACAATAGTTAGTTAAGTTAAAATAGCAATTTCAGTACACCACAAAAACAGCAGAAGAAATATTCAAAAATTAAAACAATTTTCAATATAAATTGACATAGACAAGAGAAAAGAAAAATAGAAGGCAGAGAAGAGAACCCAAAAGATAAGCTCTGAGTGCTAGCAAAATCTTGAATCTGCTGTCTAACAACATCAATTCCTCTATCATCTGAAGCATTGAGCTCCAAAATCATATTATGGTATTGTGGACCGTAAAGTTTTCTCGCAACAGCGAGAATAGTTGATGTTTTGCCAGTTCCAGGAGGACCATACAACAGAAGATGTGGTAATCTGTTCTCAGTGGTCAATTTATCAACTACACAAACAAAAACGAACAAACAATGAATAGCGAAAAAAGATGAATAATAAACCCTAGAGTAGTTGAAAGGGAAGTTAGAGAGAGTTACTGGTGTCGACAATGTCACGGTGAGCAGCGACGTCGTCGAGGGATTGAGGACGGTACTTTTCGACCCAGAGAGAGGCCTTGCCGCCGTGGGAAGGGTTGCCGGCGAGAATGACAGTTTTGCCCTTATCTTGGTTTGTAGAGAAAGAGTTGGTTTGGTCGGCGCCGTCGATGTCCATAGGGTGGGTTCCCTCCGCCATCGCTGTTATACCCTAACTAACTACCTAGAGTTCTTTCTGGTTTGTGCTTTGTTTTTCTTTTCTCAGTGTGTAAATTTCTCTGATTCTATTTTCAATTCCTTTTTCTTTTTTTCACTTCTGAGAGGGGAGAGAGAAAAAAGAGTTGCCTTCCCGCTCAAAACACATTCTTCTGAGACAAAATGGTGTGATTATTGGGCCAGGTAAATTCTAATTTTTATGGGCTGATTTTGGAGAATTTATCATGTCACCTCCAAATATTAACCTAGCACCCCAGCTGTAATGCAATTATCATGTTAATCTTGTGATAAAAATTTATTTTACTATTCTTATCAAACTTTTGCATTCAAACTACAGTATCTATGAGCAGTGAGTATTTAATTTGACCAAATATTTATGTTTTTGCGAGTTTCTTTTTTAAAAATTACTTGCATTTATATCTCTTTTTAGAAATGTCCAATAAAAATTCATGTTTTTCATGCTATATGAGCCCTCTTATGGTTACAGTACTAACATTCACTAACTTAACATTATTTTTGGTCATGAAAATGTAGTTGAAATATTGAAGAGTACCTTGAAATTCAGTTAATGCCAAATTTATAATTGTCGCTGCTCTTTTGAATCACAATTGATATCTCTCCATGAACACGGTGTTTGTGTTAAAGTTGAGTTGCTAATAATCCATGAATCAAAAATTGGTTGTTGAGGGAGACTTTGTTTCAAGAATTGGTATACATGATAAATATTGTAAGATATATTATCTTAGCAGATAAGTCTCATGTATATATTGATGCGAAGTACATGTGGTTGTTTAGTAGTCTTCCCCATGTTAGCTGAGTATGGGGAGTGTTGCACTGATTGTTTTATATGTTGCACTTAGAGCATCTTTAATGCAGGTTTTTAATAGTTAAATCTTTTATAGTTAACGATGATTATAAAGAATTTGCATTGGAATGGTTATGACATAGCATTTAATTCACTAACTTTTAGTTTCCGGCAATTATATAGTTAATGTATGCTATTTATTTTGAAACATATAATATTATTATTTATATTATTAAAAAAAATAATTACAATTAAAAAATATAAAATATAGGGTCAAGCTTTAGTTTTTTATAAACAACTATCATTAAAGTAAAAACAACTCAAATCAACTATAAATTTTTTAAATTCTACAAATCACTTTGGGCTCACAAAAAATATCTCAGTTTACCCACTTAAGATATTCCCACTAAAGATGCTCTTAGAGAGACGACTGTCTTTAAGACTTTGCAGCTTGCTGGTTATACGAGTTTGTTGTAAATGTGTCTTAAAACCTTTGTTGATGAAAAGAAAGAAAACATATTTTGGAGATTGTATTTACCGCAAAAATCAGAAATTTTAGAAAGTTAGACGAAAAGTCGAAAGAAAAAAAAACGGTCGGTGAATAGTATTGTTCGTACGATGAATAGTGATGTTCGTACGGTGAATAGTGTTGTTGTATGTACGTTGAATAGTATTTTCGAGTTTTCGGGCTTTTTTCGATTCGGTCCATGGATCCATGTGATTTTGGGCTTTGTGTTGTTGGGTATTTCCTATTATAAATATGTATCTCTTATATGTTTGGTGTGTGACAATCTTAACTTTTTCACCAACAAGGGAGAGCAAGGGTTTAAAGGTATAGCATATGGTTTCAGCTATGCACACAGAAAATTTTGGATTACACCTTGGATTTGAGTGATTCACATATTGAGAGTTGGAGAGGTAGGGAAACACTTTGATAGAAATGAGGTTGTTCTTGGGCGCCTTCAGGGTTGTTCTTGGGAACTTGAAGGCGACGACTATTTTCTTGTAACTCATTTGTAATCTCTTGTAAAAAAATGTATGAAAATAGTGAATTGTAGATCTGTTATCTCCCTCAGAGTAGATCGTTTGATCGAACTGGATAAACAAACCTTCGGTTTTTTCTTGCCTTATTCTGTTATATTATCTGTGTACGGATTATTATTGTTGAAGATCATTTATTTTGGTTGCTATATTGTTCTTTGCCTCACAAATTGATATTGAATTTTTTCGTAATTCACAACAAGATTCACAATAGAGTCTATTTCAAGTTTGAAATTTTTTGTTATTTATTGATTTGGTTCTTATTTATGACATTTCTTGAATTGCCAATGTTCTTGTGCAGTGTTAGATATACGAGTAGTTCCCATCCATTTATGAGAAGCGTGTTATTCTTGCCACTGCTGGCTCCACATATGCCAAGAGATCAAAGTCCAAGCATGCACACCTATGAGGTATTATGGAGTACAAGAAGATTATTGATGTGCTTACTGTAGATGATGTCATTCGTACACCCTACGCAGACCATATAGTGCATCAGGAGTTCGATGATACTTCGCTTTTTAGATTATATGTGATGGGGGACCTTAGGGGTTAGACATTTACCTGAGAGGTGTCTATATTAGTTTGGATATGTCTAAGACATCCATGTTATTCCATCTGAGGGCATTGATAGATGGTTTATTAGTAATGTTATCAATTACACTCACACTGTTAGAGATCGTGCAGTGGAGGTTTGATTCCCTACTCAGTGTGTTGATGGGTACTTGGAGTGGTACCTTACAGTACCACACCCTCACATCATCCCACATGAGCAGCATGAAGATGATATCGAAAATTCTCATACTAGGGGGCCTTCTGATGACATGTCACTGCCTACACCGCCTCTACATGGTGTAGGTGATGCTCAACGCCTGTATATGATAATAGTTATTATGGATAATCTTGGTTTGGTAAACCTGTTAGTTCTTGATCGGCAGGAATTTTGGTAAAACTAGAAGTAATCACAACATGTCCTACAGAATGTTGTGACATCTTTCTATACAGAATCTGCGTGCTCCCATATCTTTTTGTGCAAGCTGGATGCACTTTTTCAGTACAGAATTTGCGTGCTCCTTGAGATTTACCTTAGGCGTTTCTGTTCATTTATTAAGGATCAGATTCGATACGATCTACTGTTATTTTCAGAAGAATGTTTGAATATTGGAAGATTGATTTGATTGGATCTGATTGAATCAAATCTGCATAATTGTTGTTGTTTATGAAGATTGTTGCAGTTACTTTTGGCACAGCCCAAGCCCATCGTGCACTACTATTTAAGGAGGCTGAAACCCTAGCTTGAAGATCAGAGAGAATCAAGGATTAAAAAGTGTGTGCATCTGTTTAAATTTAGGTTGTGTGTGTGTTAGTTTTGTGAGCCATTCACTCATTGTTTAATGTGTGAATTGGACTAAGTTGTTAATTGTTAATTGTTCACTCAAAGCTTTTAAGCAAGAGTGTATTGTACTTGATTGAAGCTTTTAAGCAAGATCAAGTTGTGACTTTGAAGAGTGTCTTCTAAAGTCTTTTTATTGTGTATTGAAAGTTATCACTGATGTGATTGAGGGGGAGTGAAAGGTGTTTATTGTCTAGTGGGTTATAGGCAGAAATTGCATTGGGTAGAGATTAAGTAAGGAGTTGTAAATTGGGAGTTTAGCTCCAAATCAATTCTACTGATAGTGAATTTCCTCCCTGGCTTGGTAGTCCCCAGATGTAGGTGTGTGTTCACCGAACTGGGTTAACAATTACTGTGTCGCTTCTAATTGTTATTTGTTTAGTTGTTTTCTTTGTTCTTGACAAACAGATATTTGTGTCGTGAACATCTCCTTCGACATCTAATATCTGATACCAGAATTTTAATTGGTATCAGAGCAGGCATCTTGATTTGGTTCTAGGTGAGATCTGGGGACGATACTTTCTGGTATCATGGACAAAGAAGGAGGATTTTTTAACAGACCTCTTGTTTTGGATGGGAACAATTATGACTACTGGAAACCTATGATGGTTGCCTTCTTAAAATCTCTGGACAGCAAGGCATGGAAAGCTGTCATAAAAGGATGGGAACATCCTATAATTATTGATAAAGATGGGAAGGCTACATTTGAATTAAAACCTAAGGAGGAATGGACAAAAGAAAAGGATGATTTGGCTCTAGGAAACTCTAAAGCCTTGAATGCCTTATTCAATGGTATTGACAGGAACATATTCAGGCTGGTTAACAATTGTGTTATTGCTAAGGAAGCTTGGGAGATTCTAAAGACCATTCATGAAGGCACATTCAAGGTAAAAATGTCTAGACTTCAACTCCTTACAACTAAGTTTGAAAGTCTGAGAATGAAAAATGATGAAAGCATACATGACTTTCACATGAACATTCTGGAAATTGCCAATGCTTCAAGTGCTTTTAATGAGAAGATGTCTAAAGAAAAGCTGGTAAGAAAAATTCTCAGATCCCTCCCTAATATATTTGACATGAAATTTACTGTTATAGAAGAAGCTCAGGACATCTATAAAATGAGGGTTGATGAACTCATTAGGTCCCTTTTAACATTTGAAGTAGGAATAAGTGACAGGACTGACAAGAAAAAAAGTATAGCTTTTGTATCAAACACTGAAGAAAGGGATAATGACTCTGATGAGGATACAAATGGAATTTTATCAAAGGCCATGGCTCTGCTGGAAAGACAATTCAACAAGGTAATAAAAAGGATGAACATAAAGACAAGAGAAAATGTCAAGAACATCTCACCTAACATCAGTAAGTCCACTGATGCAGGAAGAAAAACTAGGTCTGAAGAAAATTCCTCAAATAGAAAAGGGATGTAGTGTTATGAATGTGAAGGTTTTGGTCATATCAGATATGAGTATCCTACCTATCTTAAGAAGGAAAAGAAAGGTCTAGTTGTCTCATAGACTGATGAAGATTCTGACAGTGAGATTGAAGAAGAATGTGCTAAACATGTTACTGCCTTGACTGGAAGATATTATTCTGATGAAGACTCCAGCGAAGATGAATTGACCTTTGAAGAACTAGCAGCTTCCTACAGAAAACTATGCCTCAGAAGTGAAGAAGTCTGCCAGCAAGGTGAAAAACAAATAAAACACATTCTCAAGTTAGAAACTGAAAAGGAGGAACACCTGAC